GCATTTGTAGCATTTGTAGCTGTCAAAACATGGAAATGCTTAATTGAGACGTGTATTACAGTTTTTAAAACATGTTTGTTTAATAGCCTATTATCAGAGGGGGTTCACCTATGTTTGCGTACACAACATGTTCAACTCGAACGTCTTATTTATTCGCAACGTTTTACACTTGATGAATAATTAAGTAATAATGGAGAAGTTGCGTGCATAAACACAGTTCAACGGGAAGACGACAAGGTTGGTCAACAATGAGCATGGAAAAATACATCATTAGAAAACATCGCTACATGCAATAAAAAAAACACTGTAACGTGATTTTAATTCAAGACGCGCCTCGTGCATAATAGGGTACCTTCATGTACGTGTCATATGCATACTGTATGTGTCTGTTTTGTTTAGAGAATCATTTGCTTGCATCTCACGAAGAAGGAACTGAGTGCAGATTATTTATTTTCTAATGCACAAATGGACAATACAATTTTCATTTATAATGCGTTTGTCTTATGCTTACTGTGCCGATGCAGTGTTGGGTTATGGAAAGTTTTTTTTATATATACTATAAAGCATGAGGCATCTCTCAAATATGGTCCCAATAAAATATTTGCTGACAGTAACGTCAGGTGTAATTCTAAAATATGTGGAGCACTCATCGTCGTCGTCATCATCATCGGCAAACATTGTCTATCCATTTATGGACAAATGCCTTCCCCACACCATTGCCATCCATCGTGGTCCTGCAAAGCTACCGTCAATCTTCCTCTGCTCATGAACGGACCTCGTCCCTACATCCTCTGCGATGATAACATCCTCTCGGGTGCATTGCCACCTTTGGCTGCCATTCCATCATCGGCCTTGTCCATTGGCCGTCATTCCTTGTCGTGATGGGTTCAACCCAAGCCTGCTTAGTTTTCTTTAAATGGTCAATTTAATGTTTCTGATTTACATTTGCTCCCCGATCCACGTCTTCCTCTTTCTATCTCTCCCTCAACGTAATTCCGAACATGTATTGTCATATTCTTCTTTGCTCACCGTTCAGATTTTGACTAGTTGTCTTCATCAATGGCCATGTTTCTGATCTATACAGTATATTGTCGAGTAATATGCATTCATAGCTTTAAAAAAAGTCTTCTTCAAGCACTTTGTATTTTCTCATTATTTAATTCACTTTTACAAAGGCACTCAATCCTGTTTTTGTTTGCATATTTTTCCCATTATTTTGGGCCCCGATCTGCCCAAAGTGTCCATATTCTGATGTTCTCCAGTCGTGTCCACTTACAACAATTATTTGAATTTGTTGAGCAAACATTTTTGACCGTGACTTTGTTTTTTCTCACGAAGTCCTATTTTTTTGCAGATTTCTTCATGCAATTCATCAAGCATTTCCTGTAAATAAGTCTCCCAGCCATTGTGGTCAACAAATGTATGTTCATGCCCTTTCTGCTACTCATATCCACAAAGAATGTCATCTTATCTTGTGATGAATCACATTCGCATCAGGGCGTATCAACCTGTCTGACTCATTAGATGTGTATGTTGTTGGTTGCTGCATGTACCCACATGGTAGTTAGTGGTTCTTTCTTTCTAAAAGATTTTAATCATTTCTATATACTATTTGTGTTGACGCTTTAGTTTGTTTGTATTTACTACGTATTTGTGTTTCCATGGAATAAAATGTCTTTTCATAATCAATAACCTCCAAGCATAATGGTATTGTATTTACAGTTTCCTTTTCTTGGATCTTGTTAGTGTTTACGTGGCCAGTGTTACATATATTATCACTAAATAACAGCTTGATCGTGAAGTTGCTTGGCCTTTAAAATGCCTTCAAATCCAGCCCGTAACATATTTGCACAAAGTTTATATGTGCTTGGATCAAAGGATATTTTTTGAATGATTACATTGTAAACACTCAAATTGTATATTTCTTACTTTTTTTAGGGGGAATTTGCATAAAAGCTCAACACTGCTTTGTACATCATGCACCTGGTTTTACGTTTATGATCTTGATTTAACATTGCACCTTTTTTATATAATTTCACGTGCCTTCAATTATGTTGCAGTAAACTAAACCTTCGTGAGGAAGTTATTATGCTTGTGTGAACCTCAGGCCAAATGTAAATTTAAAATAATGGTTTTTGACATTTAATTAAACACCACTGGGGTGCTCTTTAACATAGGTTAACACAGCATCGCCGCAGCACTAATTCTTATTTCTATTCATTATGACATTCTCCAAATAAACCATTCAGTGCATCTAATGTATACAATTGTCCAAAGTGTATACAGTGTTTCCAGTTTTGATGCCCTATTAGCAAAAAAATATATAGCCAAGGCATCGCTGTATACTTTAAAAATAAAACAGTGGCGTCATTAATACACGTTGCCCTCTTGAGCCTTTTAATGCACAAAGTGGCAAAGGCGCTTATTGTGCTGACCCTGAAAGTTTACTGGGTGTTTTCACATTGCCATTGGGAGATATTCAATCTCTCTGACTTTTACAAAGGGGCTCTAGAGTTTCCATATGTTCTATGGCTCGAGAAAGACAAAGGGGTACCTAGGGGCCTTGTGATCTGCCTTGGGAAGGAAATGGGATTGGAAGGGCCTCCGCATAGCGCCCTCCTATTGGCCAGCTCCATAGCGGCCGTGCGTGCCATCTCTCAGCTGCGTGAAAATGTGAGCGGGCGGGAAGGCGAGCCTCTGGGAACGAGAAATATTTGCGGTATGAGGTGTATTTAGGAGGAGTTCGGTGAAAGCAAGCAATGGCTGTTCACTTGTGTGAGAGTCATTGTCCAGGGGGGGCCCTCTGAGGCGAGCCCGTGAGACCAACCGTGTCAGGGGCGGCTTCCAGGCGGCCGGCAGACACTGAACGTTGTGAGTGTTGTGAAATTTCAGAGGCACGTGTGAGTTTTGGCACCGTGTTGTCAGCCACAAGGGGACATCAAGCAAACAAGAGTTAATTGTGTTGATGTAAACACTGACAAGAAGAATTTGACCTTAGGACCGCACCTAATGTACACTTGTGTGATTTTATTTAGTAACACTGTCAGTAATAGTTTTGCAACAAAAAAATGGTATGTGGACTAATACGTTCTATTTTAGTTCATTATTTCGTACCTAGCACACTTTCAGCATGTACATTTCCTTATATCTCACGTATGGCAAAGGCATTGAGATATACTTAGAAGTCACTAAACAGTTTTACGACTAAGTGTTTTCACAGTTGTGCTGTAGAGCCCTCTAATGTGTTTTTTTTTGTGTCGTAGCGTACGTTTTTCACGAGTTGTTTCAGGAACTGAATTCAGTTCCCAGCTGAAGCTCCCGTGAAGGCAGACATCGTGCGAAACAACACGCAGCACAACTCGGAAATTACATCTCTGAGCCATTTCATTTTAATTCTCACAGTGGCGAGATGTTAACTACCTCGCCTGGTATGAAGGAGGTCGTGGATTCCATCCCGACCCTGACGATGCCTGCTGCATATTTGGAGTTTGCATGTCTCTCTCCCCCCGTGGTCGCGTGCGTTTTTCTCCGGGTGCTCCGGTTTTTTCCGCTACATGTAGAAACGTGTGTTTCGAGTATTTGGCTACAGTACATTTCCACGTGGTAAGCCACTTCGTTGTGCTATCATTTGTGGCCAGGTAGGTTCTGAAAAAGAGCAATATGGCTCAGTGGGCCTTGCCTGGTAAAGTAAAACGTATTGTTATTGTTCTAAGATGATCGGGAAATGGCTCTTAAGAAATATGTTTTATCGATGCCTACCCTTGGCAATACATACCCTTGGCCATACTAAGTTCCAATTTAACTCGGTATGTTCGAAAAAATGTGATTGCATGTAATTAAACCAAAAGTCAAAAAGGTTGCTCTCTTCAAAGTCACAACAATGCATTCCTAAATCAAGGGTTCCATCCACAAACGTTGTGGCTGCATGGTTTGTTGCATCTGGCTGGAGTAGCCACCCAGGGCAAGTTAGTCCTCTGGCAAGAAAACACGAAGTTGCAATGGAATGCGTTCTATTTTACTTGGACATTATTCCGTTGATCGTTTTTCATCATTAATTGTCCATCAAAATCATTGAAAACTTTTACGTGAATGGAGGTTTTTGTTGTTGCTTATATCTTGTATATGTGTACCTCTTTATGTCTCTTATTGTAATTACGAGTATGCATATTTCCAAGCTTGAGATTGTCTTCATGCAGATGAGATGTGAGGCTTAAAGTTAATACAATACATGATTTGAAAGTGTTGCTTTGCATATCATAAACGATACAAAATGTAACTAATTATTCTAAATTATCGAATTAATCTGGTTTGTAAACACATAATTGGTTCACTTTTAAATTAACCCCACAGACACAACATTAATTTATATCCTGTGTTAAGACAATTATGAAGCAATATGGACTAATGGTAATAAAGTGTGTGTGTGTAGTTTAAATGGAGAGTGGCAACGGTTAGCACGTTGTGCTACGAACTCCGGCTACCCGAGTTTGATTCCCGCTCACGGCCAACACCAGTGACGATTATACATACACGGTCCTGGGCCTCCCTTAAGTCGACTCAGCCTCAAATGAGTACTTGGTGCGGTGTGTAACCATCGCCACTGGGGAGAGAAAGACGGCCAGGGGTGGTGTTGGCCACCTCGTGTGCCGTGCCACCCTTCATAGGTGCTCGCTAACAGCACTTGCATCCCACTGGGATTTTTGCACACAGTGTTGGTGTACGGTGCTTTTTCTGCAATATTTTGCTGTCTTTTTTTGGATTTTCTGTTTGCACATAGTCACTTTAAGATGTTTTCTTGTTCATGTTTTAGTTGTTTTGTTTGTTGCAGTTGCACCCGATTCAAGAGCCGAATGGCTCACAGGGCTATACCAAATAAATTAAACTTCAAACTTGAAACAGTCTGTTCAGGCTATACTGGGTGGGGTGGGGGGGGGGATGGGGCAGGATCTGTGTCTTTGTATTTGTAATTGACTCTCGCTGTTGTCGCCTTGACTCGCCAGCACCAGGCGCTGTTGCTGGAGCAGCAGAGGGCCCAGCACCACCAACAGATGAGGGTTTACCAGGGCCAGGTCGCGTCTGGGGGGCTGCAGTTCCGCCCGCCGTCCCATCGGCCGCTCTTCCGCACGCAGTCCTCCCCAGCGTGCACGCTCTTCGCGCAGGCCGGCGGCCAGGAGCAGGCGACCACCAAGCTGAGATTCACCACAGGCAAGTGCGGAAAAAACTAAACACGAAGTTTGAAGCATTGCACACTGCGAGAAGAAGGAGGAGGAGGAGCAGAAGCATCGCCTTCACCGTGTCCTTCCTCAAGACTGGAAACATCAATTCTCCAATTCGTTTCTTTGTGTGTGTGTGTTGGAAGTGCGGTGGGGAGTGGTGGCGTAGCAGTTAGCACGCTGCTCTACAAACCTGGTGACCCGAATTCGATTCCCGCTCACGACCAACACTCGTGACGATTATCTTGTACCTGGGCCTCCCCTAGGTCGACTCAGCCTTAAATGAGTACCTGGTGCAGTGTGTAAGAACATCGCCACTGGGGAGACAAAGGCGGTCGGGCGTGGTGCTGGCCACCCACCCCCTAGTGTACCGTTCCGGCCTTCATAGGTGCTCGCTAACAGCACTTGCCCCTCCAGTCTGTTAAGGTTATATGGGGGATCTTTGTCTTTCTTGGAAGTGCACGTGCACATTTCGTGCAAATTCAGTTCACGTGCCGCCCCTTTTGGTCAATCCACTGCTCAATGAGGGCCTCCCTCCACCACGCTGGTCACGGGACTTATCCTGTCGTACTTCACCACACGGGTTGGTGACGATGGGAAGCATAGATTTTGGAGCTTGGTACAGTATAACGATTGATTTGTGCTGCATTGCTCTCTGAAAAACAGTCTAAGACCAACTATTTTAAGCATGGTGGCCAGGCTAAATCTCAGCTTAGCTCCAAGATCTAATGAGATCGGGCACATTCCAGGTGGTTTGGTAATACACCTTTCTATAAGTATGCATGGCATATATCGAATGTACCTACCGAAAGAATCGTGGTGGGAAGCTCATCTCCAATAGTCGCCCCTAAGGGTGGAAATTCCACATTGGTATGGTAGAAGGGGACAAATATGTCATATTTCAGCTCATTCTGTTATGGCAACAATTGTTTTACATATAGTCGATGTTTTAATATAATATAATACAACATACATTTAACATTTTAAAATTGTATGACACGGAGGGCAATCATAACAGCTGGGAATGTGCAAACATACTTTTAACCACTTATACAGTGATCGTTTTTGTTTGTTTCTACTCACAAATGAAGTGAGCAAAACACAAATCAGCAGAGATACTCAGCCTCGTTGTTGCGTATACATTTTCCAGACGATTAAAGAGCTTCAAACTTGATCCCACAAAGCTCGCCTGCCTCCCTGGGCACACGTGACGAGCCGGTGTCAACTATTCCTTGTGCCGCAGGAGTGGTGTACGACTCCCTCATGCTCAAGCACCAGTGCTCCTGCGGAAACAACAACAACCACCCCGAGCACGCAGGGAGGATACAGAGCATTTGGTCTCGGCTGCAGGAGAGGGGCCTCCTCCGCAAGTGTGAGGTGCGTCTTGTGCTTTGTGCAAATGCGATTCAGATTGGTAGTGCTGCCGAGTCATCAATTTTTCTTTTCGTGCAAAAAATATTTTTTAAAATAAATTTTCCCCCGTGGAACACTTAATTTTATTAAGTGCTCCCATTGGTCCAATTGTGTGCATCTGCCCCGAGTCGTGTTTTAAATGTTTAGCAAAGATGGTGAATAAGATCTCGTGTCTATAATATTCACAGTTTACTATTCAACCGACTGGAAACTTATCGCTGAGCAGTGCCTGGCAATAGCTTGAGAGAAGATGTGCTTGAAACGACTTTGATTGTCAACTCGAATTTTCTAAAAGCACTCCATTTTGCTCGTGTTGACCTTTTTATTTCATTTTTATTCTGCTCCACCTTCAACGATTGCATATGTACGGTGTGAAAGAAGTTCAACACACATACATACATACATAGATATTCATACCCCTTTGTGTTTTTTTATTCATCGAACAATTCTATAGTTTAATTCAGAAAATCACAACGAAACTGAATGCAAATGAATGCTGACATGTTTTAATTAGTACTTTTAATTTCAGGCTAATTGTAGGTCTTTCTGGAAAGCGTGCTGGTATTTATTTATATAATATCTCTCAACCAAGACAAAAGTGAAAGGGCAACACTTCAAAGTTCAAACACAGACACTTAGTCAGCAGTCTGTTCAATTGAGCCTGTCATTGGATTACGGTTATCTGATATTCTTATCACCAGAGAAAGAAAAACACTGTTCTCACAAGCATTACAAAAGTCAAGTGAAAAGAACTTTCTTAGGATTAAGCGGCTCTAAGGACCCTTTTACTGGTCAATTTTGCCAGCTAAATCAGTCTGCTGTTTACATGCCCTGGCTTCCATTAAACTCTATCTCACTCACTCATCAAACTGTCCCGAATTCTTTACAGTTGCCCACAAAACGTGTCTGAGAGCGTCTCATTCTTGCCGGCACGTAACTAGACACTGCCTTGCCATAAATAAACACCTCCACTCCCCAGGGTTTGGTTGCTTAGGGTCGAGTAACACTTGCTAAATAGGACATTAATTCAGATGGACTGACAAGCTTAATGACTCCGCTCATCTATGGCTCCCGGCATTACACTTTATTAGAGGTAAACAAACATCAGACAGGGTCCTTATTGTCACTGGAGAAGACATCCAAATTGATTGAATGCACGGTGACAAAAACAGCTGTGCAATTTAGAGTGAAATTGGAATGTCTGTGGTTTGGGGAAATGGTTACTGAATTACGCCCGTTCTTTTCGCATATAACGTGGAGCTCATGTACTCATGCTAATCGCATGCTAATATCACAGTAGTACAGCAATATTAGCCAATAGTATGGTACTATGTAGCAGTATAATGAGGGTTGATGTGTCACTTTCGTGATGGTTTTGACACACATGAAAACTGTGATATCAATTAGGTCAGTTCTTCCTGACACAAGGATCTTAAAACGTAGATGTCATAATTTACAGATTACAAAATACAACTGAAAGTTTGTAATATTGTTATATATTTTTTTCAAAGGGATGTTTAACCTCGAGTGATCTGTTTCATATCTATTTTTGAGTCGTCTTGTTGGCTGTATCATGAATACTATTAATTTAAATGCTTGACGTTCTTACTAAAATTCAATGGAGTAATGTAGGCCTGAAAAGGAAACATGTATTCTGACGTATGTCTTTAGAACTACTGAGATTACACATTTTGAGAGAGCTACATTTTATTTAATTTAATGATTTCAACTTGCATATGCAAATATAACACAAGTAATACAACTGTTTTTTGTGTGATTATTAAACATTTATTTGGAAACATTTTGCACCGGTTTATGACTGGGCGTTTTTAAAGGCCCTGTTTATAAATATTGCAATGGTCCAGTTATGCAGACATTATCCTTGCACCACGGAAACTACATTAATTGTTAAATAACCCATTGGTGGGATATTTAAAATTTGAATGGCTATAGGTCATTGTGTGGCAAGAATGGCTATGGCTTTTTAAGGAACACGCTTGTTACGAGTGATAGACTGGAATATAAAATCCAGCTCTCATTAAGGCATTTACATTAGCCTCATGAACAAATGCATATATATATACATAAACTGTTATAGTACAATCCCATGTAAAATGAGAATGACTGCTAGTCTTGTGAATGATAGCAGTAGTCTTATGTATAATCCTGACATCTGCGCCAATGTGGTCTACTCATCATGGTCATAGACTTTTAGTGAGCAGCGGTGATTTATGAGAATGCCTCCATACTCTACACTGTACTGAGCCTGTCCATGATTTGGATATCGGCCAACATTTGTGTGATCCTGGTTTACATTTTTTTTTTATAATAATGCTTTTGCAGAGGGTACGTGGTCGAAAAGCAACCCTGGAGGAAATTGAGATGGTACATTCTGAACAGCATGCTCTACTCTACAGCACTAACCCACTCAACCGACAAAAGCTCGATAGCAAGAAACTGCTCGGTAAGTGTGAATGGCACACGTGGTACCACCAGCAATGTGCACTCTTAACGCGTTGTGGGGTAGGATTTTAACCCGACAGGTTGCTCAGCGGTAAATTGAGCCATGTGCAATTTATTAGAAGGTTGCGAGTTTAAATCCTCATTAGGAATCGACTCAGCCCATCATCCCTTTGGGGTCAAAGACACAAGTACTCCTTTGTGGGCGAGTCAACAGTCGTTGTCCTTATGGATAGACCTGCCCCCGCTATGGGAACGTGGAATGTACACCACTGGCTCAGGGCTGTAGAACGGGAAATGAGAACCACCACCTCAGTGCTCATGTGAGCAGGAAATCAGATTTGAAGCTTTCGTGACTGCAAGGATTCATACTATTAGTTCTTTCGGTAAAGTCACGTAGGTAAAATAAATAAATAAAATAAATAAATAAAAATCACGACGTTTTGGAGGCAACACAAGCTTCCTCACCTGAAGACGGAAGCTTGTGTTGCCTCCGAAACGTCGTGAATTTTGTTGTTTTATTTTTTTTTATTAGTTTTACCTACGTGACTTTACCGAAAGAACTAAGAGTATAGCAGGAAATCACTTTTAACTTTGTTTTCAGGAGTTTGAAAGGAAGTAGTATTGCAGAGTACAACCTTTTATAGGGGTGTATTTGTTTGAAACCATGAATGTAGGAGGCATGTGTTATCAATTTTGATCCCAATTCAATAACTATGGCATTTGGTTTATGCATTATTTGATCTCAGCTGTATTTTAAATCATGTGTGTGTGTTTTTGGCATATGTGCGCATGTTTTCACCTGTGTTTAACCCTACGCTTGTACTATATTAGTCAGCAAATTATTGATGTAACTTCTCTGTTTTGACAAATTTGAATGTATTACTTAAAAGTACTTACATAGCAATAAAAATTAGATATTAGTAGCCTTGTTCTTATGAGAACAAATTCATATAAGTGTTTATTTAGGCTTTTATGTCAGTACGACATCATAAAGACTTTTCGCGCATAGTGATTTGCATTAAGTTAATGAATAAAAGATTTTGAGATTATATTTATTGCCAAGTGTAACATTAGTTAAAAATTAGTTCAAATAAATTAAAGTTGTTTATGAGGGAAACTGTACTTTAATTAAAAAAATATTCGACGCCAATCATATCAATAAACGTGTTCACTTTCAGACGTTTACTGGTGTACGAATATTTAGATTAACATATTAAAGCATACAATTTTCCATCACCGATTTTGCATCAAAACTAAAATGCACTGAAAATAATTGTGAGATTTATTTAACTTCTCGTACTTAGGTATGTATGTTGAACTTATTTCGCACCGTACTTAGCCGACCGCGCTAATTTGGAGGTGTGAGGTTAAGGACAACAAACTAAACACAAAAGGTATTTCTAAAGAAGTGAGTTTTCAATCTAGATTTAAAAGTGCATAGCTCCAATGGCTTCCTAATATCCGAAGGTAGAGCGTTCCAGACAGACGCATAAGCACATCTGAACGTGCGTGATGCGGTGACCATCTGTGTTCGATGGTTATCCAAAAGCCGCAGCGAGGATGACCGGAGTTTGCATGATTGTTTATGCTCCTTGACGAGATCAGCAAGGTATTTTAGTCCATTTGTGGAAACCACTTTGTGTGTAATGAGTGCGGCCTTATAATGCATTCATTCGGCATACAAAACAAAATGTGATTCCACATTGGCAGTGGTGCACAGGCATGATAGATAATCCAAACTCAACACACTCGACAATGAAACCGCACTAAAAGGGGAGAAGCATGCAAAGGGCGATGTTTCAGGCAGTAGCCCTTTCTTTAAAGGAGTGAGGAAGAAGAAACATCGGCAGAAATGTGCCGTTGATAAATATGTTTACTTTTTTACAATTCGCGAAATACATTTCTGACACAAACAGGGGTCATCATATTTACATGTATCCAGTATGTACGTGAATATATATTTCATGTTTTAAGTGCGTATAAAAACACTTGCTTTGCTCTGTTTGGTGTCTATGTAAATGTGGTGTTTGGCTTCGAATGCTGTGGAAGTGAAATGTATCTCAATCTTACAGGGGTATTTGTCCTATGTATATAAATTACTCAATGCCATTAGACCTCTTGTCACCTTAGGACCACATAGCCCTTTCTTGCAGATGAATTCTAAACCTTGACCATGAGCAAAATTGTGAGCACACTAACCACGGGTCCACTAAATAAATACACACACGTGAAAGCATTTGGATCAGATCCATTTGGTTTTGCATGGACAGTTTTACATGTGTAAAACCCCCCACATATTTATTGCCCTTTTTTACAACGAGTATGCCTATTCCCACTTTGCGAAAGAGCGGTAATGGTTGTTACACGGAGCGATGGAACCCACCATAGGAAAATGGAAATTCAACAGTTGGTTCAGGGGTACAAACGGAGATGAGTGCAACTTCATTGTTGTTTGAGCACGGCGATTCATTTTTACATAAATAGTGATTATAAGCAATCTCACAGGTTTGTATGAAATCATTACAAAATCTGGGCAGCATATCTATATTTCAGGTTTTATTTAACTTTCCTCTCGCTTGTTATTAGCCATCATTTTAGCGTACGTTTTGATTTGCTCTGATATGTAATATGTAAACATATCAGCAACGACAATTATTCATTTCAGAGTGTCTGTCAACTCAGTGTCTCTATTCTCATACCTTGTACTAGTGCAACGTGGGGGGGGGGGGGGGGGGAGAAATCAATGAAAAAAGATGCCGTAATGATTTTGTCATGAGCCGCCATAATGGGCATGCACAGGTGCCAAGCTGACATAAGGCATACGCATAACGGGCATTGTGTCAAGAGCTCGCTCCTGGCCAAAGCTAGCAGCAGCCCTGTGCCTTTGATCCTGGATTCCACGCATTGCTGGGTCTCTGCCCCACTTAACCGTGTCATCAAGAGTGACCGGCTCAAGTCCAGCCCTCACTGTGACAAATTTCTCTCTTTTTTAATCTTACCTGTCCCACGCTGTCAGTCGCCCGATGGCTTGTCCTTTTGTGCCAGCTGCCCTCGTCTTGGTATTCATTCGTGGCATTTTCAGCCACGTCCCTGTGCCTGTCCTTCAGAGCAACTGCTGATCGGTGTGACACAGAATGTTGCTTTGATCGGGAAATATAGGGGTTATATTTGTTCTGTGCTGTCGTTGCCTGTTCCTATGTGCGGACCACTTTGATGTTCTTCTTCTTGTTCTGAGTAACTGGCAAAATGGGACTTTCCGTGTAACAAATAAACACGTATTGATCGATTGTTTCAACGGGGCATTGCATGTGGGAGTGGACAGCTATCAGTTGTAAATAATGGAGATTGAAGAAAAAAGTCTCCAAACAGATGCATCACGAAAGAAAAAATGTGTCTGTGTAAATGCAATCAAGGGGAAGTGCATTTTTTAAAATATGTAAATGTGGAAATTTGTTAGCGCTTCTAAAAATCAGCGTATGCCACATTGTGGATGTAACGTATGCCCCGTATGATGACATTTACCAAAGAATGACGAGGTTATGTGCTCTTACTTAAAACAAAAGAGAGACGTGTTTTATCCCAGCTGGATTCGTACTTGTCAACATCGGAGTTACATCATAACCCTTTCTGTTGTTTTCCCTTTATAAATTTTAGCCGTGCTTGTGCGATTTGATCTTCCCACCCTGGATCTTGGCAGAAACAGCTGGTTTTTTGAAGGCTGCAGCACCTCTCTAAACCACCTGTAGCCATGGATTTATCACATTTCACACTTTTTTTTGGGTTGAGAAAAAATTAGTCACAGACAGTTTCCCTGCCTTTCATCCCCGTGCACTGAATTCCTTTCTGATCTGATATCAACATCTGTGAGTTAAGATAATTAATTTTTAAGCTGCGCTAACATTCCTCCCAAAAAGCTTGGAAGCCACCTTTCTCACTCTCAAATAACTTCATTGTAAAAGTGGCACCTGTACTGTTGTAGGATATTTAATTGTATTGGATTCGTGCGGTGTTAAGAATCTTTCTTGCGTTTTTTGCTATTTTACTTTGTAATTGTATTGAAAAATAACACAATTGCCGTACATTTTCGATTTAAAGCTTTCGTGACTGCAGGGATTCATCTTCTTGGTTCTTTCGGTAAAGTCACGTAGAAGGGAAGTAATAAAATAATAAAAATAAAACATAATAAAACAATTCTCACGACGTTTCGGCTACAACGCAAGCAGCCGTCTTCAGGTGAAGAATGAGACAATGCCAAGCTAGGAGCTTATATATAAGCTGCGTTGGAGGTGGAGGAAAGAGCGCCTTAACAAAAGAATGTGCATGTGAAGAGGAATTTAGCATATTCATGGAAAATGCGTAGGAGGTGGGCGGGGGGGTTTCAAAGTCATATTATGCCCATGCATTATGCAGGATCAACAGCACCAAGGGGGGGGGTGCAGGGATTAGCAGTAACAAAGGAAAGGAATGTTAATGATATGTAGCTGCAGTTACTCAACCACCACGTAGAAAACTAAAGTATAAACTACATAAAAAACTAAAGTATAAATAGCATAGCACCATCAGTATACTTACTATACTCTACACTAAGCTGAGTTACTAACAGCAAGTAATACATTACAATTCTACGTCGTAAAAATTATATAATATGCTTCCATCTAAACTTTATTCTATTGCATCAACGAGCATATACCGTACTATATACTGCCAACATTAAATTATATACTGTATTGCTGTAAACCAACCTATATCTTATACATTTAATATAACACTATGTATTATTCTACCCACCCTAATGTGTGTCGAAATGGTTTATTACGTCCTTCCAATGATTGCTAAGCCAGAATCCATCTTCTCGGTTAAAATTGTCTCTGTGTTTGTATATGTGGATCGCCTCATGAACGAATCTCTCATGATAGCCAGATGGCTTGCAGAGAACCTCTGTCTTGGAGAAGTCAATGTCATGTGAGCCCACTGAATTGTAACAGTGATCTGCCACGGCTG